TATTCGGTCAAAACGCGTCGAAATTGAGTAAACCAAGGGTGTAGAATGTCAGGATTCGCGTTATCGACTCGTTGATGGTCTATCTTCTTCCCTAGCTTTGAATGAAGTTCAGAATGAAGTTCAGAATGACGTGTAAAAAAGCGCTGTATCCATCTCTTACCAAGCGTTTGAGGGCCGCCAGAAATTCGAGCAATTTGAGAGGCCATTTCGCGTACAGTACCATGCGTAGGGGCATGCCCCTCACTCTCAAGCGTTAGTATCCATGTAATAAGCGATTGCTCTTGTTCAAGCGTCAAAAGCTGCTGTGCACTACGTGCAATTCGTCTTGAAACTCCTCCATCAAGTCGACGTAGAAGCGTGGATTTTGACACGCCGTATTTCTTCTCAACTGCGCGTAGGGAGGGATTTGATGGGCTATTAAGCTCAATTAGGGCCTCATTAACCCTGATTTCGAATTGAGAGTCCATAGCTCAAAAATTGAGCTCGCTGTTGCGTGTAGAAGTTGGGGCGTTGACGTGGGTCAGAGGTCAATTGGGTGGTCCGTTACAGGGGTGGTCCGTTACCAGGGTGGGGCACTTAGTGCGGGGAATATGGCGCGATCACTACTTGTACCATGTCAAACGGCTAGGTCTTGGTCAGTATTCCCATTGCGAAAAGATGAATAGCTTGATTGAATCGAGCGACTTGCGCAGGGTGCTTTGAACTATTTCGTTCTTCTGAGCTCCTTAGTTGTGATGGAGGATAACCCCGATTCTTATGCGAAGAAGTCGAAGAAAGTTTGGACAACACTTATTACGAATACAAATTATCTTTCTGGTCTACTCACCCTAGACTACTCCCTGAAGAAGGTTGGGAGCAAGTATCCCTTGGTAGCCCTCTACACGGACACCTTCCCAGATAAAGGACTTCAAGCATTGAGAGCACGCGGCATTCCGGCCAGAGAGATACCCTATCTGTTACCATCAGTCCCCAAAGAATATAGTCAAGATCCTCGCTTCTATGACTGTTGGAGTAAGCTGGCACCTTTCAGTCTCACAGAGTATGACCGAGTTGTACAAATGGACAGCGACATGATGGTGCTGAAGAATATGGATGAGCTAATGGACATCGAATTGGACGAAGCCGAGCAAAACGGAGATGGCCAGCGGGTTTTTGCAGCAAGTCATGCATGTGCCTGCAATCCGCTCAAAAAGGCACATTATCCGAAACATTGGGTTCCAGAGAACTGTGCTTTCACCTCCCAGCATGACAAGCCAGAGGCGGCACAAGAGCAAGGAGCACCGCCAACAGCAGGCATTGGTTCCCCAAATGGAGGCCTGGTGGTGGTTATCCCAGGCCAAGGCACCTACGACAAGATCTCGTGTACCTTGCGTGACGGAGACAAGACGGCAAATTATGACTTCGCCGATCAGGCATTGCTTGGAGACGTCTTTCATGGCCGCTGGGTTGGCCTCCCGTACGTGTATAATGCTCTCAAAACATTGAGATGGAAGGGAGTCCACGATCAGATTTGGAGGGATGATCGGGTCAAGAATGTGCACTACATCTTGAGCCCAAAGCCATGGGATGAGAAGAGCGGAGAAGCGTCGGAAGAAACACATGAGTGGTGGCACGAGATGAACGCATCCAGGCTGGCAGACGAAGGAGCGAAAGGCTACCAGGACGGGTTTTGACCATGTGCTCCATCTTGTCTGGGTAGAAGGATATCATCAGGATAGATGCGCATCTAGTTGGAATGCTGGTTGGAGGTGAAGACAAGGCATAGTTGTACGAGGTGTGATCAATGTAGTCCCCTACTTCCGACTGGTGAGGCGGAAAAGCTCCTATTCACATAACTCGTATTGAGAACGAGATGAGGCTCCAAGCGCGCAGCAGTTGGTATTAACCTTAGTGACTGCATGCTCTCAGCTCTGTGATATTATGGTCTGATCTGATCCCTCTTGAACCAGACTCAGCCGGTCCTTCGGTCCTTCGGTCCTCACAAATGGGGCAAATGGGGCAAATGGGGCAAAGGGGGGCAAATTTCGAAGAGTCTCAGTGATCCTGGGCGGACTGGGCGCTTAATCGCATTGGCCCCCCTACTTCATTTCAGCCGATGGCTGCACCACTGGAGCTGCTTGCCCACCATGGTTACTACCAAAGTCCTCAGCAGGAAAGATGCATGCTGATCGCCTGGAACACCTACTACGTAACACTTCCCGCTGATTATGTCAATCCTGCACCACGATCAGAAGTGCCGTTGATCGAAACCTTCAGACTGCCACTGGCCGTTACAGCTCGAACTCTGTGTCATTCGCAGCCTCACACAAAACAACACCCGAGAATGAGTGAAGTCACCTCCAATGGGAGCTTCTCCTGCAGCGGGGCTTCGAGCAAGGCTACCACGCGATGCTGGGGCCGGCAAGTGATTCCAATCTTCTGGGCATTGGCTAGAAGGGCCAGCCGCCAGAGGATCAGCCACCAGCCGAAAGCTCTGTGACAAGCCATGCATAAATGCATTTACCAGTCAAGGCTTCTGCACTGGACCTGTCTTGCTCATTGGTAGTCGGCCCTCTAGATCATTTTCACGGGATACCAGGGACGGTAAGGCACAGTAAGCTTCGTTCACCCTCAGGTGTTTGCGTCCCGTACTAACGACTCTGCTCACGCCCCGGTGTGGTGACACGAGACTGTCGGACTGGGCGCTCCACAATCCTCATGGGGATATGATTGAATGAAAGGAGGACTGATCGCCTCTTCGGATACTTGTACTATGTGGATGGCAAATTCCTGCACATCGACTCCCCTCGATCATGCCAACTAATGGGCGACTTAGCCTATACTCCATACTCTTTCTTGATTTCTTCGCAGACCTTCATAAGCTCACGGTTCTTTACATGTCGCTGGCGATCTAAGCATTCGTGTGTGTTTCAGACCAATTTGCACCGCCTTGCATCCTCTCGCTGTAGCTATCCGATCCCTGATTTCGGAACTGCCCCAGTCCAAATTTCGATTGTGCTGTCCTACCTCCTTCGCGAAACACCATTTGACCTTCCCTACTAAGTAACCCGTTAATCAATATACTCGCACACATCACACAACGCTTCTCCGAGTTTGCCTCACTTGTTGCTGATTGCCTCACCTTTGAGATGTGTGTCAGAACGAAAACTTCCTATGACTGCGGTCATACGTACAAACAAGATCAGAGTTGCCATCGCCACTCGTGTACTGAACTTGAAAGGTATCATTTTGAAAACGAAGGAGATTGCCGACAATGCAAGAAGGATGGCGAGGCCGTATCAAGGGGTCGAGAAGGACAAGGCAGATACGCCAGAGAGCTACACAAGAAGGAGCACAAATCCTTAACGAATCGAGCGCCACTATCCACCACCTCGCAGAACTCTCAGAGCAGTCCATGGGCACCATCCGGCAGAAAGGAGAAAGATTGGCGTAGTCCTATCAGGAGACGGGCTGACGAAGCCTGGGAAGAGGAACATGCTCGACGGGAGCAAGATCTCCAAAGTCTGTCAGCGAGCAGCAGAGGTGGTAGCGTGCGATCCGTTGAGCCCGACCATGCGGATGATCAGCATGAAAGGGACGATTATGGAGCCTCGATCCGTGAAGAACTCCGCAGGGTGGAGGACTCGGAACGCATCCGTGTTCGTCGTCGACGAGACCGCCAGGCCAGCTACGATAGCTTTGACAGTTATGGTGAGAGTCATCGAAGTAATGGCTCTGGACTTTATAGTCATGGTCACTACAGTTCTGGATCTGGCAGTCGAAGTCATGAGTCGGCTAGAAGTCGGATGTATGACTCTCGGTTTAGCTCTTCGAAACACAGCCCCTACAATCTGTACAATACGGAATCTTACTTTAGTGGGTTGGGTCATGGGCTTGGGGAAATGGTTAGGGATTCTGGTTGGAAATGGGCCAGGTGGTAGGGTTTCCAAGTTATATCACGATACAATGCTGGGCCGGTCAGCATCACGGTATCATGTTGGAGCAGGCAATAATTGCGTTCATTCGATACGCCGAAATGCAATTCTGTGTGCAATCACTGATCTCTTATCCTTTCCGTGCTTTGTCAAGATGTTGTTTAGAGTTCGATCAAACCCTTGTCCACATCTAACTTCGGCAAACTCCTCTACAAACAGCCCTATCATGTCTTCCCCCTCATGCACCTCTACCAAATCCTTCTCCACATCCAAATCTATCAAGTCGGCTTCAACACACAACTCTAACCAAGTCCTTTTCCTCTTCCTCTTCTTCCGTCATCTTTGCCTCTTCCTCCCCCCTCCCCTTTACCATCTCGTCTAACTCAGTCAAATCCCTGTCCTCCACTCCCTGGTCCCCTTTCCCAACACCCGCCCCCCTCTCAATCTCACCAATACCCCTTCCCTCCACCCTCCTCTTCGGATACATTCTCACCTGCCCTATGACCAATCTGCTCATATTCCCTCTTCTTATCTCAACAATCTCTACCACATCATCTCTTCTCTCATCCGTGGCGTTCCCTACAGGTCCGAAACAATATGAGACCTCATTTTTCATGACTAGGTGGAGGCCGTTGGCTGATTCACCACGGGGCAGACGGTTGAAGAGTGCGTCATTGATGCAAGTGTTGGTTTCGGGGGTAGGAAGACCTGGTGCCCGATGGCAGGTTTTGCGATGTATATTGTTGCTGCTGATGCTCCTGCTTCTGCTTCTGCGTTTCTTTATTTGATGTCGAGGCGGATGCTGGCCAATACCTGTTGAGGAGGTGTTGATGCTTACGCCGTCGCTTCTGCTTGCACTCCTGATTTTATTAGTAGTACCAGGAATGGTATTGGAGTCCTCCCGGTTGCAGAAAAAGGTTAAGTCGTTCAGCAGGGGAAAGTAGTTGTCTAGCGGTAGATGATGACTTGTGTAAAACATGGAAGACAACATGATGGTTTGACGTAGGATATGACGTGAAGGGGTTTTAGATGGTATAACGATTATGAAGATTGGAAAGGAATTTGATGTGTGATGTGATGCTCAGCAGGCTATCGTGAGTATGGGATATGAGCTGAGGAGTCTTGGATAACACAAGAAAGAGGGCGACAGGGTGTGATGAATGAGTATACTTATGGTTTGCATAATGAGGACCCTTCAGGCGAAGGGGCATTAAACAATCTGTCCTTGATCGAAACACATTCGTCCCGTGCAAGGACGATGAGCAAAGACGATCTAATATCTTGACGAGTCTGAAAGGAACCTAAGAGAATGTACTGAACACACTGGGAGTGCTATCGAAGCTAAGGAACGTGGATTGATGGGTTTGAAGGATGTAGAGCAGCATTGTTCATCGCCCAAATACTGTTTTCGCCTTGGACGCTTTCGTTCCATACCTAATTGCTCTCCTTGACAATCGTTTGGAGTGTTTTCTCGTACTCTTCAACCTCTTTCGCTCCTACCAGCGTTATATCTCTTCTCTTTCCTTCGAATACAATGTACGGAACACTATCGACTCCATTTCCTGCCTGCTCGCGGATCAACATCTTCACTTCTGGCAGACCCCCGGATCGATCTTCAATGAAAGCTTTCACATCTGACTCAGGGATTTTGGCTGCTGCTGCAGCTTTCAAAAGCGTCTCATCTGTTGACGGATGCTGTTCGTGCTCGAAGTATTGAGAGTACAGCGCTATTGATGGCATCAGCTTTTGAGAAATGTCCCTGCAGACTCATGCAAACCATTGATGAGCTTGTCCGCTGTTTCAGGGCCCTTCTCCTCCTGATAGTGCTGTATCAGTCTATGCGCATCTAGGGTGTTTGCAACCGTTCCACCAAATTTGAAGTCAATACCCGCACTGACACCGTAGGCCGTCATCAATGTGGTGTACATCTGCATCTTTTCTTCCGAGTCGCCATATCTGGATTTCTTGTACCATTCGTCCTTGTCTTCACCTTCCTGGGAAGCTTTCGGATAAAGCTGGTAGGGGAAGTATCTGACTGTAAATTTCACTTTTTGGGCTTCATCCGTCTCTCGAAAACGGCGGAGTGCTACAGCGAGGACATCTTTGGTCAGCTTGGGTCAGATAATGCCAACCTCGACACTACAATCTCGGAAAAGCCAAGCACAGCAAAGACTGACCTTCGTCAAGTCTATTGGGGGCGTTGAAGCACCTTCAGCATTGGTACACCACTGCATTGCACAGCAAGAGATTCCTAGGATTTGCCTACCGTTTCTTGGCAAGATACGTCCTGCACCGGACAGTTGACAGTTGTCAGCGAAAGACCTGCACAGGAGCGGATGTCACATGATCTTGATGCTCAGGAAGGTGACCAGAGAACCAGTCTGCGGTCCGTCTGTTGGAAGGAGCTCACCATGGGCAAATTGTGTCAAGGGTAAACGAGATCTGCGACTGGTACGTCATTGGAGCAAAGCGGGTGTGCGGGTTCTCTCTGACTCCTGTCCAGCTGCAAGGGGATCCCTCCCAATTTGGTCCTGGAGCTACAGCACTAAATGAGATCACTGAGTAACAAGGGTTGCTCAAGGCTCTGTTTTGAAACACTGTGACCGCGACATCATGTATTACTACCATTACTACCAAGTCTTTTGCAGCAGTTGCACCGAGTACAACCACATCGAGCGATATCACATTTCCTGCTCAACGCTTCCATCCCCGCCATTGGCATCTTTGGGGGCCAGTCAAACGTCAATGCGGCTGATTTCTCCTTATGGGGAAATCCCTTGTGGGGAAGCCTCCCGGCGCTGATCTCCTGCCCTGGCCTAAAGCTTAACAAGACATCGATACCCATTGTGATCGAATTTGCCTGGTCGTTTAAACCATGAAGAAGTAGGAAAATGCCGGCACTTGAGGACCTTTCTTGCCATACCCATGCTGTAGCATCAAGCCAGTGGCTTCCTTGCAGAACCAATTACGGGGCCTTGAATATTGGAAACAGACCGGAATGGTCGGACAAGCTGGTCGGTCGACCAACCTTGACTCGCTGGTCCCAGTGGGCACCTCTACCCTTGACGTTTAACAGGGCTCGTTCCTGCAGGTCGCTGAACCGAATCGGCCACTCGAAACGCTACTTTTCATGTTTCCCTGCATGTCTCGGTTGCTGTCGAGATGTACGACCAAATGAGACTCGTCAACTTTGGGAGTCGCTTTCATGCCCCGCCGTGTCTCAACCAGTCGAAGGTGGGCTGTTTAGTCGAGAAGTATAACGCTACGTATAATGCTATGTATAATGCTACGTAGCAGCAGCGACCAAAGTCGTTACGGAGTGTTGAGAATACAAAGCTTCCCTCCCATGTTCCTCAGTGCTCCTTGATTCTGCTCTCCTACTTCATACTTTCGTTCAGAAACAGCCTTGCCACTCACTCTTTAACGGTCGGCTGTTGATCGCGTCAAAAGATCGCTACCGTTGCCCAATATCCTTGTGCTAAAGCTTATATCAACACAGTCCATCTTCACCATGAAATCCGCTATCGCTCTGGCTCTTATAGGAGTAACGTATACTTCGGCGCAAGTCGAATAGTAAGCATCTGATTCTAGCCTCTTTCGATACTCTCTGGTTTCTTCAATGCTCTTCGGTATGTACCGTGCTGACCGTCGCAAGCATCAACGGCTCCTTCGTTTGCGCCGTGTCAGATGCCAATTACTGTGCTGGCGACTCGTTGTCCACCAACATCATCATTCGCTGTACCGGCACCGAGGGACAGCCCGGCAATTGCAACGACAAGTTCGTTACCATCGACTGTTTTTCTCTGATGCAGAATTAACCCCTTTTCAGTCTTGCCGGCATCCCACCCGTTGGTGTCAAATCATCTGCAACATGTTACCAGTCATCACCTTCCGCCGGAGACGCCGCTTGTTCTTTCGATGGCAATGTCTATCCTGAGGATGATGGCTCTGGACCCTTTCCCGTTCCCTCGCGCGGGGACGACCATAGCTCGGCAGCAGACACCTCGTCCTACGGAGGTAGCATGACGACTGTGATCTCTCACTATACCACTGGAACTGTCACCAACACGTATACAGTGACAGTACCATGTCCAACTACTACCACTGCTGCTCCATCTCCACCAACAGGAAGTCCGACCCCCAACCCTTCGGCAACCACAGTCTCTACAGCTGTCACCGAGTCGAGCTGTTACTCTGACTGTCCAGGCTCAAGTGCAGCTCCCCCGACAGTCGCCCCGCCTCCTTCATCGCCAGTCGAGACGCATCCAACCCCAGCCCCAGCAGCTAGTTCCGAAGTGCCAAGCCCGTCCCCTGCTCCCTCAGCATCATAT